TAAGGGGCTCCGCCGAAGGTCGCAGTGGCACAGTCCGCATGCGTCCCCGCCATTCATTTCGGCCCACCACTCACACGTTTCGTGGCCCCATAGGAGCTCCGCCGAAGGTCCCAGTGGCACAGGCCGCATGCGTCCCCGCCATTCATTTCGGCACACCCCCCAGACGTTTCGTGGCCTCATAGGAGCTCTGCCGAATGTCCCAGTGGCACAGTCCGCATGCGTCCCCGTCATTCATTGCGGCCCCACCCCTCACACGTTTCGTGGCCTCATAAGGGGCTCCGCCGAAGGTCTCAGTGGCACAGTCCGCATGCGTCCCCGCGATTCATGTCGGCCCACCCCTCGCACGTTTCGTGGCCCCATAGGGGCTCCGCCGAAGGTCCCAGTGGCACAGTCCGCATGCGTCCCCGCCGCCCATTCGGCACACCCCTCGCGCGCTTCGTGGCCCCATCGGAGCTCGGCCGAAGGTCCCACTGGCACAGTCCGCATGCGTCCCCGCCATTCATTTCGGCCCACCCCTCACACGTTTCGTGGCCCCATAGGAGCTCCGCCGAAGGTCACAATGGCATAGTCCGCATGCGTCCCCGTCATTCATTTTGGCACACCCCTCACACGTTTCGTGGCCTCATCGGAGCTCGGCCGAAGGTCCCACTGGCACAGCCCGCATGCGCCCCCGCCAGTCATTCCGGCACACCCCTCACACGTTTCGTGGCCCAGTAGTAGCCCCGCCGAAGGCCCCAGTGGCAGTCCGCATGCGTCCCCGCCATTCATTTCGGCACGTTTCTCACACGTTTCGTGGCACCAGGTGAAACTCCACCGACGGTCTCCGTGGCGCAGTCCGCGTGCGTCTCCCTCACCCAGTACAGCGTTTCGTGGCAACACCTGGAGCCCCACCGAAAGTTCCCGTGACGCAGTCCGCATGCGTCTCCCTCGCCCAGTACAGCGTTTCGTGGCCCCATAGGGAGCTCCACCGAAGGTCCCCGTGGCGCAGTCCGCATGCGGTTCCCCGCATAAGAAGTGTATCGCAATTGCGGTACCCACGCCTGCATATGGTTGGGTCCTTCGTCAGGTTATTTTTTGGCGGGGATTGTGGCTTGCGCCCAGCAGGGAGTTTGCTGGCACCCCCGCCGTCGACGGCGGGGGTGTCAAACAACGATGCAATGTGCTCGCGGGGCCCACGAACATGATCCAATATTTTGCCCCACAGTGTATTTGTAGTGCTTCCAACCATCCTGTGGTGTTGGGTCTTCGTTTTGAAGAGACAGCGGGGGTCTCCTCCCCTCCTCTCCTCCTCGCTCCCCTTCCTCCTCCGATCCCTGCCTTTGCCTTCCAAACCAGCCAACCATTTTGGCACACCCCTCACGCGTTTCCTGGCTCCATGAGGGCCCCCCCCACGTGCCAGCGTTCGCATGCGGCCACCGCGCCCATTTTGGCACACCCCTCGCACGCTTCGTGGCTCCATAGGGAGCCCCACCAAAGGCCCAAGTGCAAGTGTTCGCACGCGGCCACCGCGCCCATTTTGGCACCCCTCACACGTCTCGTGGCTCGATAGGGAGTTTCGCAGAAGGCCCGCATGCCAGCGTTCGCATGCGGCCACCGCATTCATTTTTGGCACACCCCTTGCACGCTTCGTGGCTCCATGGGGAGCCCCACCGAGGGCCCAAATGCCAGTGTTCGCATGCGGCTACCGCATCCTTTTTGGCACCCCCCACGCGTTTCGTGGCTCCATAGGGAGCCCCGCAGAAGGCCCAAGTGCCAGTGTTCGCATGCGGCCACCGCATCCATTTTGGCACACCCCTCGCACGCTTCGTGGTTCCATAGGCCGTCCCACCGAAGGCCCAACTGCCAGCGTTCGCATGCGGCCACCGCGCCCATTTGGACACACCCCTCGCACGCTTCGTGGTTCCATAGGCCGTCCCACCGAAGGCCCAAATACCAGCGTTCGCATGCGGCCACCGCACCCATTTTGGCACACCATTCACACGTTTGGTAGCCCCATAGGGAGCTCCTCCTATTTCTTTGCGTGCAACGGCGTATTTACAATTGTGTATGGTAGGGTCTTCTTTTGCCAGGCTATTTTTTCCATCCATCCTGTGGTGTTGGGTCTTCGTTTTGAAGAGACGGCGCCCCGCGTTCTTCTCCTCTCGCCTCCTCCTCTTCTCCTCCCCCTCCTCCCTCCTCCCTGCGTTTTGCCCACCCAGTGCAGCGTTTCGCGGCCCCGTGCGGGGCTCCACCGAAGGTCCAGTTTCACCGCCCACATGCGTCAGCCACAGCCCAGCACAGCCGGTCGTGGCCCCGCTAGGGGCTCCACCGAAGGTCCCAGTGGCACCGCCCGCATGCGTCAGCCACCACCCAGTACAGCGTTTTGTGGCCCCATAAACAGCTCCACCGAATGTCCCAGTGGCACCGCCCGCATATCCAGCCACCGCCCAGCACGGCGTTTCGTGGCCCCATGCTGAATTTCACCGGCGGCCCCAGGGGCACCGCCCGCATGCGTCAGCCACCACCCAGTACAGCGTTTCGTGGCCCCACAGGGGGCTCCACCGAAGGCTCCAGTGGGGCCGCCCGCGTGCGTCAGCCACCACCCAGCCCAGCATTTCGTGGCCCCACAGGGGGTTCCACCGTTGCATCGCCCGCATGCGTCAGCCACCACCCAGCGCAGCGTTTCGTGGCCACACAGGGAGCCCCCCCCGAATCTCACCCCAGTGGCACCGCCCGCATGCGTCAGCCACCACCCAGTACAGCGTTTCGCGGCCCCGTAGGGAGCTCCACCGAAGGCCCCAGGGGCACCGCCCGCATGCGTCAGCCACCACCCAGTGCAGCGTTTCGTGGCCCCATTGGGGGCTCCACCGAAGGCCCCAGTGGCACTGCATTCGTGCGTCAGCCACCACCCAGCACAGCGTTTCGTGGCCCCACAGGGGGTTCCACCGCAAGTCCCAATGGCACCGCCCGCATGCGTCAAACACCGCCCACATGATTCTTGGCCGAAGGTCACAGTGGGACCGGCCGCATGCGTCAGCCACCACCCAGCACAGCGTCTCGTGGCTCCATAGGGAACACCGACGGCCAAAGTGGGACGGCCCGCATGCCAGCCACCACTCAGCGCAGCGTTTCGTGGCCCCACAGGGGGCTCCACCGAAGGCCCCAGTGGCACCGCCCGCATGCGTCAGCCACCACCCATTACAGCGGCCCCATTGATTGGGAGCTCCACCAAACCCCAGTGGCACTGCGCGCATGCGTCCCCCCCCACCTGGTACAGCGTTTTGTGGCTCCACAGGGAGCCCCAATGGTGCGCCCGCATGCGATCCCCCGCCAAATACAGCGTTTCGTGGCCCCAGAAGGGGGCTCCACCGAAGGCCCCAGTGGCACCGCTCGCATGCGCCCCCCCCTCCCAGTGCAGCGTTTCGTCGCCCCATACAGGGCTCCACCGAAGCCCTAACTGGCACCGCCCGCATGCGTCGGCCACCACCCACTACACCGTTTCGTGGTCCCGTAAGGAGCTCCATGCGTCTTCCCCAACCAGTACAGCGTTTCGTGGCCCCATCTGGAGCTCAAGCGAGGGGCACCGCCCGCATGCGTTCGCCAGACTCAGCACAGCGTCTCGTGGCCCCATAGGGAACCCCACCGACGGCCCCAGTGGCACTGCCCGCATGCGTCTCCCCTACCCATTACGGCACGTCCCTCGAGCGTTTTGTGGCCCTGTAGGGAGCTCCAGTGAAAGCGACACCCACAACGCGTTATTCACAACTGCATATGGTTGGGTCCTTCGCCAGGATAATTCTGACAGGGGCGGTGTGTGTGTGTGTGTGTGTGTGTGTGTGTGTGTGTGTGTGTGTGTGTGTGTGATTGTGTGTGTGTGTGTGTGTGTGTGTGTGTGTGCATGTGCATGTGTATGTGTATGTGTATGTGTATGTGTATGTGTATGTGTATGTGTATGTGTATGTGTTTGTGTATGTGTGTAAGAGTATGTATGTATATGTATGTGTGTGTGTGTGTGAGCTGAACCACGCAAGCTCTAAAAGGCTGGTGGGATTATGTATGCCCGTCAACACGTACGCGCATTTTCACCTGCTTGCATTCAGTTTTATTTTCTGCTATATGAAAGCATTCACACGGAAGGGGCAGGGTGCTTTTTGAAGTGATGGGCGCTTCCCCCGGGGCCGTTCTAAGAAACCCTACGCCTGCTTAGAAGGGTCCCCACCTGCCCCGCCCCCCTCGTCTCGCCCCGCCAAGACCTGGCTCGCCTACAGCCTCGGGCGACTTTTTGGAGCTTGGAGCTCGGGCCATCAGAAAACGACATTCCCATCCCGCCGAGGGGGCGCGAGATAGTCTCCCCTCCGCCTTTTGCCACGCAATCCCCCAGAGGCCCCTGGGTGTCTCTGCAGGCCTCCGTGGTTCCCGAAATGTGGCAGAAAGATAGGGTTTGGTGCCCCGCTCGGGATCTTCCACGATGTCGTATTTTTGTCGCGACGTCGGCTCTCAGGGAACCTCGTCGTCCCAGGTATCCGACGCTCTGATCCTGTAACCCTCCGGCCCCCGAGGCCCCGACACCTTCCCGGAGACGGTGTGGCGTCCCAGACCCGTTTGTTGATGGCCCCCCACCTCCTGCCGACGGGCCCCCCCGAGGCCGACGTCGAGGGTAAACGTCGGGGGCGGAAAAGAGGGGGGTGACGACTAGGGGGGTGGATTTCGTGGCGCGGGCCATGATTTTTCCTCAGATTTCGTGGCGCCTCCTCTCATTTCATTACGGCCCTGGCCCCCCCGCTGGGCCGCGCACATGCCGCCGGTCATGATTTGCACCCCCCCCTCTCTTGGACACCCCCGTCTTTGCCGCTCCCGATTGTTGATGGTCCCCCACCTCCTGCCGACGGGCCCCCCCGAGGCCGACCTCGAGGGTACACGCCCCCGTTGAAGACATCACCTCGTCGGAGAGATCCGCTCCTTGGCGCGCCGCGGCGTCGGCTCTCAGGAGGCCTCGTCGTGCCCTCCTCGCCGCCGCCCAGCCCGCCGTCCGGCTCAGGCGGCGGGCCCGCCGGTGCGCGCGCGAGAGCGCGCACAGGCCGGCGCGGCCAGAGCGTGCCGGGCCGCGCGCAGCGGCGCGGCGCCGCGGGCCGTCCTCCTGCGGGCTGTGGGCCGCCTCCCCGGCCGTTCCCGCCTGTAGGCTCCTCTGGGGAGGCGCCTCCCCTGGGGGGCTCAGAGATGGGGGGCTCCGAGGGGCCAGAGTTATCTTCTGCTTTTGCCCATGCGGGCGTTTCTGTGGGATTTCGGCCTCTGGTGCCGTTGCCGGGCCCCAGGCCATCAACGTTAAACGTGCATCCAGGGGGGGGGGGGGGAAGACTGACCCCAGGGAAGGGGTATGGGCCTCTCTGGGGCCGTGATTAAACGAATCAGATCGGAGCGGGGGATGATCGAGGGCGGGAACGGGAAGCTAGGCTGAGGCTTGATTGTTTGAGGGCCCTCGTCCTGGGCGCCATCTTTCAGGGCCTCATCTCTGAGCCGCCGATCCCCGGCACCCGCCCGGCAGGAGCTGCTCTTTCCGTTGCGTCCTCCCAGGCTGCCACGGAAGCGGAGAGAGGAGAGGCGAGGCAGGTCCTTCGATCTGCGGGCGACGCGCCGTTCGCATACTCGATGCCGGATGTCGATGCAGCGGCGTGCCACCGCCTACATCCAGGTCCAGGACGGACACGGGGCGACTCGTGCCCGCTTCGGGCGCGTGCCCGTGCTGGTCCATCGGCCGAGCGCGTACGCGGGCGCCAGCGCCGCAGACAACTCCGCGGTGCCCAACGCCGACTTGCGCCTCTCGTGGGCACACGGCTACGACGGCGGCCGCGTGGGTTCAGTCCATTGGATCTCCGACAACGAGTTTGCCCACCCACTGGCCGGCTGCTGCGTCGTCCAGAGGCTTGAGCCGCGTGCGCAGCGCTTTTTCTTGGGCCACAGCACCCAGGTCACCTGCCTGGCGTTCAGCCCCGCCGCGGGCCTGTGCGCTAGCGGTCAGACGGACCCCGCTGGCAGCGGCCGCCCCTTCGTCGGCGTCTGGGCCCCGTCGGATTGCGTGCTGCAGACGGTGCTCGTTTTCCACGACCGCGAAATCATGGCTCTGGCGTTCGACCCCTCTGGGCAGGTCCTCTTCAGCATGGGCGGCGACAACAACCACACCATAGCCGCCTGGAAGGACTTTCTACCGCCGCAGCGCGGCCGCAGCCGGGCGGCGATGCAGGAGAGCTACCCCATGGTCATGCGGGAGCCGGTGTTCTCCGTCGGCGGCGGGCAGACCCCGTCTTTCGCCTTCGCCATGCCCGCCGCGGGCCCGCCGCGAGCGCGGGGGGGCGGCGCGGAGAGCACCTTGTCCGTCATGTTCGCTGCCTACGACGCCGGGTGCGCTGACAAGGGCTTGGGGAGCCGCATGCAGCTGCAGTTCTGGAGCTTCTCGCACGGGAGCGACGGGGCTTACGACCTGAAGGGCAAGTTGGCCACGTTCGGCCAGTGTCCGAAGCCGGAGCAGGTGACGTTCGTTTCCTGGACCGCGGCCGGCCTCGCCCTCGTCTGCGGCGACAACGGCCTCTTCTACCTCTTCGAGAAGTCGCAGCCGATCCGCCACGGCCGCGTCTGCGGCGCCGCCCTCGGCTTCGGCGTGGAGGTCCCGGGCCTGGACTGCCTCGTCTTCGGCTCTGGGGACGCGGTGCTGCACTTCGGCCATCGCGAGCCGCCGACGCAGGCCGCGCTGGACCGGGGCGGCGGCGGCTGGCTCACGCCGGTGCGCCTGGCGGACGCCGGCGGGGCGCTGGTGGCGGCGACGGCGCGGCTGCAGTTGAATTCCGTGGCGGTGCGGCACTGCGCGCAGTCCGGCAGGCACCTGGCGCTGGTGGGCACAGCGGACCACCACCTGCTGCTGGTTGACCTGGGGGCGCGCAGGCTGCTGACTGTCTTGCAGGTGGCCCACGGCGGGGAGACCTGGGCGCTCTGCCACCATCCAGACGCGGAGCTCGGGCTCTTCCTCACGGGCGGCGCCGACAGCCAGGTGCGTTTTTGGGACCTGCTAGGCCCCGCGCCGGTGGTCGGTCGAGTGCTCGACTTCGCAGCGGCCAGCGCTGCGCCGGGCCGCCCCGCGAGCCGCGCCTCGGGGCCGCCTCGGCCGGCCGCTCGCGCGGCGGGCGCGTGGTGGCCGCCAGACACCGTGGCGCTGGCCCTGCGCAGCAGCACCCCAGTGACGGGCATCTACGCGATGGCCTTCAGGGACGCTGGAGACATGCTGGCGCTCGGCCACGGCGAGGGTACCATTCGGGTACTGTCGTTCCCAGAGCTTCGGGTGGTCTTTGAGCACTGCGCCTCCAGGGCCAGGGAGCGGGTCAGCGACATGAAGTTCAGCCCCGGCGGCGGGGTGCTGGCTGCGGGCAGCTGGGACCAGCAGGTGTACCTCTACCGCATCGAACTGGACGCCACCTCCACGCTCAGCGTTCACGCCCACCGTACGCTGACGGGCATCCCGGCGTCGGTCACCCATCTGCAGTTCAGCGGCAGCGGGGAAGTGCTCATGGTGAATTCCTCCGACGCGCAGATCCTTTACTTCGACGGACATACGGGGGAGCGCTGCACGGCCCCTGCGAAGTTCAAGGACACGGCCTGGGGCACGCCATGGACGTGCGTGTGCGGCTGGCCAGTCATGGGCATGTGGGCAGCCAACAAGGACCTGGACATCACTGACATCAACGCGTGCTGCAGCCTGGACTTCGTACCCCGCGGGCGCCGCGCACTCCTCGCGTTCGGCGACGACCTCATGCGGTTGCAACTGTCGCACTTCCCGGCCTTCTCGGAGGACCAGGGCTGCAGGCGGTACAACGGGCACGGCAGCCACGTCACCTCTGTGCGGGTCGCTCCGCCAGGTGCTGGAGGCGACAGCAGCGTGCTGGTGACCGCGGGGGGCCGTGACTGCGCGCTGCTGCAGTGGCAGGTGGTCCACCTGCGCCCGTCCGAGAAGCCGAGGCTGCGCATGAGCTCACGAGGGACGAACGCATCCGTATCCATGCCCTCGCGGCCTGCGGGCCGCAATCCCACGGATGTGCGATCCCACGGGCACGCTGCGCGGGGCCTCCGCGCAGTGCCGCTCCGTATCCATGGGGTCGCGGCTGGCGAGTTCGGGCTGTGGTGCCGTGGATATGGAGACGTTCCCACGAGGAACGAACCCTGGGAGGACCCGCAGCCGTGGAAGATGAGAAACGGCGACCCAGACGCGCCCCCGCAGCGGCGCATGTGGGTGACCTTGGGCAACGACAAGGGTGCGCCGACGCCAGCCCTGGCCAAGCGTCGGTGTACACGCCGCCCTGGCCTAGGCTGGGAAGGTGTGTGCACCGACCCTGTGGGCCCAGCATCGAAGCGATCGTATGTGCTGGGCGCATGTATTCATACCTCCGATGTCTTGGTGTTGTCATTGTGAGGTCCCTGGAGCTCTCGACCCCTTTCCACCGGAGTGATTTTCTCAGACGGCCCGGGAGACTGGCTGCTTCATCCGATGGCGACTCATCCGCTCCGACTCATCCAGTCCGCGGTTCGGGTGAACCGCGACGGGATGAATTAGACCGGATGAATTCGTCACCGGATGAGTTAGCCCGGATGAGTTAGTCATCGGATGAGTTGGCCTGGACGAGTCAGGCACCCGATGAATTAGGCACCGGATGCGGTAGGCATCAGATGAGCCAGGCATCAGATAGAATAGGAGTCGGATGAACTAGGCACTGGATGGGTTCCGCACCAGATGAGTTTGGCATCGGATGAGTTTGGCATTGAGTTTGGCACCGGATGAGTTTGGCACTGGATGAGTTTGGCACCAGATGAAATTGGCACCAGATGAATTTGGCACCGGATGAGTTTGGGTACCGGATGAGTTTGGCACCGGATGAGTTTGCCACCGGATGAGTTTGGCACCGGATGAGTTTGGCACCGGATGAGCTTGGCTCTGGATGAGTCTGGCATTGGATGAATTTGGTGTTTCTCGTTAAGTGTGAGATCTCATTTGTTGGTGGGGGCGCCAGTGGGGCGATGTCCGAGATTCTTCGACAGACTCGTTTGAAGAGCTGCGCTGTCTAGAAAAAGGAAACAACCTACGTACGCATAAACTTTCGGAGGCTCGCGCGGAGATCTCGAGTCGGCGCTGCACAGCTCCCGGGTTTGGCCTGGCGTGCGACGGGCGGCGCCCGCCTGGAGTGGGGCCCAGTGCCGACGCAAGAGATCCGAGAGGGCCTCCGAAAGTGTATGCGTATGCGTGTTCATTATTGCCGACCGCTTGGCGTATGCTGCTTTTTCTTAGCATTTCTTGCTCTCCTGCCTGTTTCTAGTCGTCCTCCTTCCTCTTGTCCTCCTCCTCGTTTCCATGATCTATCCTGCTCCTCGTCTTCCGCATCCTCCATGTCCTCCTTGTTCCCCTCCTCCTTTTTCTTTTTCTCTTCTTTGTCTCCCTTCTGCACGTCCTCCACCTTATCTCCTCCTCCCTGTCTTCCTTCCAATGAGAGGCGGGCTGGATGAGTTCGGCATTTTGAGTTAAAGCGCTGGACGAGTTAGTCACCAGATGAGTTAGGCAATTGTATGAATAGAGCAATGGATGAGCTGGGCGCTGGATGAGGTATGCCTGAGTAAACTTAGTGACGGACCGCGTGAATTAGGCAGTACCAAATTAATTTGGCATCGGCTGATTCAGGCACTGGATGAGTTAGGTCTGGGAAGTTGAATCAGACATCGGATGAGTCAATTTCCCGGGCTCTTCTGGTAAGGGGGCATCCTGGGGCAAATGGGGGTGAGAATTTGCTTGACCAGAAAACGGTTTGTAGTCAAGCAAATCTTGAGTTACTTTGAGTTATTGTGGGATGCTTTTGAAACCGATGTTGGGGGTCGCTGCCTCCGGAGGGTGTTCTGGAGGGGCTACTGGGTGCATCCTGGGGCTGAAGGGAGGTCAGCATTTGCTTAACTACAAAACGGTTTGGAGTCCAGCAAATTGTGAGTTCGTTTCGATTTATTGTTTTGACCATTTCAAAAATATCGGAAGAGTCATGGTACCATATGCGTTTGGGCAGCGGATTTGTTAGGGCATTTGATTAGTTAGGGCACCGGATGAGGTAGTCACCGGATGAGTTTCGCACTGGACGAATATAGGGCAATGGATGAGTTTGGGCACCGGTTGATTTCGCGCCGGATGAGGTAGAGCATCGGGTGAGTTTTTCACAGGATGAGTTAGGCGACGGATGAGTTAGTGCATCGGATGAGTGAGTCTCCAGACAGGCCTGGTGAACTTGAGGTAGGGCGCTGGATGAATTATGCACTGGGAGAGTTAGGGCTCTGGATGAGTTTGGCGCCCCGATGAGTAGGCACTGGATGCTGGATGAGTTCGACTCGGATGTTGTCGAAGCCGACGTTGGGAGCTCGCTGCTTCCGGAAGCTATTGGGTGCGTTTCGGGGCATAACAGAGGTGATAATTTGCCATGCAAACTTTGAGTTACTTAATTTCTTCTTGGGTGTTTGTTAAGCCGACGTTCAGGGTTCGCTGCTTCTCGACGTTCTGCTGGAGGGCTTCTCGGGTTATCCTGGGGCAGATGGGTGGGTAGAAGTTGCTTGACTACAAAGCGGCTTGTAGTCAAGCAAATTTTGAGCTCCTTTGGAGGCATTGTTGGACGCTTTGAAGGTCACGTTCTGGGGGGCTTCCTGGGGCCTGGGGCAGATGGGGCTGGAATGTGTTTGACTACAAAATGTTTTGTAGTCAAGCAAATTTGGAGGTATTTTTGGGTTATCTGTGGATGTCTTTCCAGGCGACGTTGGAAGCTCGCTGCTGTTGATGGGTTTCGCGAGGGGATCCTGGGGAAGATGGGGAGTGACAATTTGCTTGACTGCAAAAGGGTTTGAAGTCAAGCATTTTTGGGCACTTCCGTCAAGATGCCGGATGAGTGAGGTTGGATGAATTTAGGGTATCGATGAGTGACGGAGTAGAAGAATTCGACACAAGATGAGCAATGGTACTGGATGAGTTACAGGGCTGCTGAGTTCGGAAAACGGAATAATTAGGGCATCGGATGAGGCAGGGCATCGGATGAGTTTGTACACGGATGAGTTTGCCACCGGATAAGTTAGAGCATTGGAAATTGTGAGGCACCGGGTGAGTGAGGACACCAGGAGAGTTAGGGAATCGGATGAGTCAGGCAACTGGATGAATTTGTGACAGCATGAGTTTGGCATCGGATGAGTCAGGCACAGTGTACCGGATGGGCTTGTCACCGCGGATGAGTTTTGGCACCGGATGAATTAGGGCATCGGATGAGTTAGCTACCAGATGAATTTGACCAGATGAGGTAGGTCATAAGTGATTTAGTCAGGCACCTGATGAGTTAATTACCGGATGAGTTTGGCCAGATGAGTTAGCCACCGGATGAATTAGACCGGATGAGAAAGGCATCGGATGAATAACACCGGATGGGTTTGACACTGGATGATTTGGGCGCGGGTGAGTTAGGCATCGGATGAGTTTGACCAGATGGGTTTGACCAGATGAGTGTTAAGCTTTGGATGAATCGGCCCGGTTGCCCCGGAGCCCAGACGCCTCACGCCGAGGCCGAAAGTGCCCCCAATACGTTCGTTTGGAGGGCGGACGGAACGACCGAACACCTCGACTTCTCAAGACTCGGGTCGGACGACAGGGGCGGACGGAACGCGGCGGTGCGATCTCTGCCTGCAGCTGGCTTCCTCTCTGCCGCGGGGCGCGCTCCTCGACACATTGGCGCCTCCGTCGCCAGGAGGCGCTGGGAAAACCAGGTGCGTGAGCTGATTCGCCCTACCCCCTTTATCTGCCTCCCGCGCCTTCGTCCGACCCCAGAAACGCCGGAGGTCGCGCCGGCTGGGGCTGCGACCTGAGTCCGATTCCCCCGCGTCGGCCCAGGCCAGCCCGAGCAGGGCGCGGCGGTCCGATCTCGATCCGATTCGGGACGATCCGCTGGCGACCCGATCCGTTTCCGACCCGATCCGCTCTCGTGGCTCTTGACGGCGCCTGCGCGGGGATGGCGCGGCGGGAGTGGGCTGCTGAGTAGGCGGGGGAGGCTCTCAGGAGGCAGGGTGGGCCTTTTCGGAGCCCTGGAGGCTCCCAAGACGGTTTCTCTTAGAAGCTGGGTGGGCTTCTAAGCATCCACCCGCTGCCTCCTTCGAAGCCCCGCCGCCTTCTTGGACCCCCCCCTCGCGCCACCTCCACGTGGGCGAGATCCATGCGTGTCGGAGGCTCGTGGCCTGCCCCCCCCCCCCCGAGGTGAAGGAGCCCTCGAGGCCAGCCGCCGCGCCCGCGGCGCCGCCCTTCTCGCTGCACGTTGTCGCGCCGTCCCAGCAGAGCCTGAAGGTCGACGGCGGCGGCGCCGGCGATGGCGGCGGCGACGACGACCACGACGGCGACGACGACCACGACGACCACCACACCGACGACGACGGCGACGACGATGAGGACGACAACGACGACGACTACGACCACGACGACGACCACG